ATATAAAAAAATTAATCTTCAGGTTCCTGATTTAAAAACATGGTATTTAAATAAGATTATTACGCATAAACAGAGTTCATGCAAAAATGTCGAAAAAAGTATTTCAAGTTCAAAAATATTTGCTTCCAAATTATATACTTGATTATGGGCAGTGTGTTTTTTGTATTCCTTGTAAACGCAAATCAAACCACACAGGTGTGATTATCAGACTACGTTTTCATATCATTTTTATGCGTTCTATGAAAATGTATTTCACAAAAATATTCGCGTGTTTTGTCTTTTCTCAAAAAAGTATTCACTTTGTATGTAAATCACAAAAATGCAATTTTTCTATGAGTATTACTTGAGTTACGAAATGTGACTTCATACACTAGGTCACATACCTTACATTACACCTAGGTCATTTCAAGCAAAATTTCAGGTTTTCTGACAGTAAGTCTAAAAGTTTTTTTAATATTTTAGTATGTTAAAACACTAATAATGAACACTTGAAAGACAAATTTATGGAATTTATATCTTAATTGGTTTAGTAACATTAACGGGTTAGACATAGTATGACACAAGGTAGTCAATAATTAAAATAACTCTGACGTTCATAAAATGAATAAAACTGCTAGGACGAGTACACTGTTTTGATGATAAATGAACGTATTTTAAGACGTTGACAATATATTGATAAAAATATTTGTTTATAATAAAAATGCAAATGAATTAAACAAATACATATATCTTCAAAATTAATATTTTTTCTCTTTCATATTTTACACACTGCAAGAAGTAATAAATACCTGTTCCACCAACTGTCATGTAATCTTAAAAGTGTGTACGTTATTAAATAAAAAGTAAACGCGCATTACACTCGCAAGGTTGGAAGACGCGTGCCTTTGTCCAAGGAGGGGTGAAACAAGGTCGTACGCAGGAAACCTCAAGTTCAAGGATATCTCATTTTTGCCATGAACAACGGAAAAGGTCCCTATGAAACATCAAGAGACGCAGCTTATGCAAAACTTCAAGGAACTTGTGTCTCTACTCCTAGGAAACTTTTTCAACTCGCGAAAAGTAATATGGAAGAAATTTATTGTATTTTTACCGGCTCAGAGAAAGCAGGGGCGAGTTCGTTTTCGGAGCGCCGTCAAGATATTTTTATTCATAACCTTAAAACCTTTCAAGATTACATGATTAAACTTTCAGAGTGGTCAGAAAGTAGTTTCAGCGATTTGGTTTCCGAACTTCAAGAATTTAAAAATATTATATTTCCATATATTGTATTATTTTACAATTTATTTACTTCCTAATTGTCAAAGACTCGTGGCAGGAAAATATCTTTAGTGGAAAATTATCCTTTACATTTCTTCTTTAAATTTAGATTTAGATTTATTTACTCAAAAAAAAAAAAAAACCAGTAAAAACTGTATATGACGTAGGGAGAAGATTGTCTGCGCACGTTTTCTTGAGTTCTAGAATCCCTTCCCGTCATTTTCACTATAAATAGTTGAAGTACATAGATGAGCAAAAGTTTAAGGTAAATAAATAAAATAAATTTTAAAAATCGTAAGATTAGCAATATTTGAAAAATAGTTATTTACGTTTCCGAGTCATAGAAACCTTATTTACATCGCTATACGAATTGCAAGTATGATTTGTCTGCATTGCTAACAAAATAACAACTCGCCCTTACCTCTACTCATAACGCTACAAGTTCAACAAAACGTACGCATAGTGAAGCTACACTTACGACCAGAAGCAAAACAAGAGGCCATCCCAGCATTTGCTCAATGAATCAGGGAAACTGGACAAAAACCTGATCAATTTGGGGGTCATTGACCCGGAGGCTGAAGTACATTATTTGTTACAAACATATTCTTTTAAAAAAAATACGTGTCACGTTCATATTTTGCACGTTTTATCATCGGAACAAAATCATAATGCAGGTCTACACACTGCTAACCTAACATAGTTTCTAAACAATGGCTGAAGAGATAAAAATATTGGACATTGTTGATGAGTTACCATGGTAGGTAAAATGGCAAAATATTTTTAAATTCTACGATGTAGTGTCAGATTACCTACTTTTTTGCATGGAAAGATCCACCTGGATAACAGGATGCAGATTCACCATCTTGCACCTTTTCAAGTTCTGTGAACATTTTTTAACCCATCATTCCGCGACAGTAGGATTGTACCTACAGAATTCTAAAACACTGCTGTGAGGAACAACGATCCTTGGGTTGATTGATTAGTGATCGCGGGCGCTTAACCTATAAAGTTATTGCTCCCACAAGTGTAGTGCATATTTTATCGTGAGAGAAAGTGTTAATCTTCCCCAGGTGAGTGGCGAGATCCGTTGCCGACCTACAAGTCGGCTTGCGAGGTTTTCACACAATCAGGTATCCCCCACCAGCTGGGCAGCACCCCAGCCAGGACAAGCTCCCGACTAGTCTTCCGGCACGTGGGGAAGTGTAGTACATGTAAGTGTAAGTTTATGTGTAAGGGGTAAGAATAGAACAAGGAAGAGGAAGGAAATATCGTGCGCGGTCCGTGACCCGGTTGATAGGGTACTGCTCCTGTATTAGCCACAGAAAACTACCTATCGCTAGAATTATACTTCAGATAGCTCCTGAAGATTCTTGTACATTCTATTCGTTAATGTGAGGAACACCGACGGCGACACTCTAGAAGAGAAAGTGATAGCAAAGAAACTTCTATGCGTCTTCTTTCCGAAGGGGAAGAACGGACGCACATTCTTCCTTCTTCCCTCGTCATCTTCCCTCGCGAGAAAGAGGCCGAGGTCACGTTCGCATTACATTACCTATTTATCATCGATAATGTGAGCTCTACGTTTCCACGAACTAGATTTTCGAGATTGTAAATAAAACTGAGTTGTGCACACGTTTAAGAAATTAGATTTTTTGGGTTGCTAATGTTGTTGTGTGGGTAAATGCAAAGTGTAACAGAAACTGTGTTTCCAACGATAGAGTGTATCATCTTGTGCAGTGGTGCACTGTTCCTTCCGTACAATTACGAAAGCAATAATTGGGTAACTGTCATTTCAGATAAATGAAAATATAAATCAAATTATTAATATCTAATTAACTGATGCAATTCTTGAAATATGTAAACCCAAATAATACGTAAGAAAAATTGCTTTTGAATAATTAAATATAAATTATTATATGAAGCTTACGTATATCAATTTTCATTGAAACGCCTGTTCTACTTTTGGCAAAGGCAGAAAGATTTGGACTTTCTGAACCGGGGTGCTCTAGTACATAATTACGCCTCTGTAAGGAAGACTACACAGGGTTGATGTATTTTGCATATTCAATCTCCATGACTAACCTTCTAACAACGAACTCACTTTAACTACTGAATTGCGCGCCGCAAAAGCTTTAGAATTGTACCTCCAGATGTGAAAATTGCACCAAATTGTACCGTCATCTCATAGCCGTCGGTTTTAGTTTCATTTTGCTTATGGGGTCATCATAACGGAAATTGTTTTTGGTGGCAAATCCTCAAACGATAATAAAATAATAATAATAATAATAATAATAATAATAATAATAATAATAATAATAATAATAATAATTTTAAAAAAATCAAGTTTCTTTAATGCTCCACTGGCTCAAACTTCTTAATACATACAATCATAGGGATGCAGATAAATACTTTATAGACCAAAGGTATCCTGCCAAAAATGACGGGACGAAATCATACTCTCATATTAGTAATTCATTATACTGAATACAAAAACTCAATTAAATTTCTTTAGTGTTAAATTTAAGTTTTTCCATTTTAAATTAGTAACAGTTTTATAATAGTGGTCCTCTATGAATCAGAAGCGATTTAGGGAGACCCTGAAGGGGCCCCCCAAGCGAAATTTGTGCAATTTGCGATTGTCACTGCTGGTTCCCACGTGTCACGTACGTGCGCGAGCTCGCCTGCACGGGCATCTTCCCATTCTTTGCCTCGGGAGCAGGGAGTTCGGTCTTATACATTCGGAGTGGTTCTCAGACGCGTATCTACGTTCTGGGCCTGTGAACTTTTTTGTTGCACTCCTTTAACTTGACATTTTAACGCTTCGCTGCGCGTGTTCAAATGGGGTGACGTGGCTCCAGCCTTCGACCTCCGCAATTAGCATAAAACATCTTTCAGTGATCCAAACGCAATATTTCCAACAGATTTTATGCCAAAGTAATTTTTTAGTAACGCTTTTAACTTGAATTTTTGATGTGTGGAAGTTCGCGTGCAACTGCACTTAATTACACTTAAGTAGCTCACTTCATCTAATGATTCTGACAGATCTTAGTGGCAACACACTAGCTAGTAGCTATATGCGCGTTCGATTTGCTTAGCAGTTAATATCGTCTGAAAAAAACAGCAACAGAAAACGCAATACATGGCGAGATATCGCCGGAACGAAACCACATATAATTTATTCTTCCGCCGCTAGGGTGTTCTACGTACTGGAAGAGGATTCCAGACAGAAGTCAGCCTTTCAGCAAGGAAAGTTGTGGTTGCTGTAGAGACATGGGAGACTGCTTTGCAAGAACTATAGAATACATAATCATATGAATATGCTTAAAAATGTTGATATTTCAGAAAAAACTGAAGGATTCTTTCATTTTTTCCAAACAATAATAATAACGAAGGGTTTTATGTTTGTAGAATTGATTATGCAACATTATATTATTACTTGACCGATACTGATTAAACGAGAAAATATGTGCTACTGTAACACCACAAGGTTTTTTTAGAGCAAATGAAATACGGATTTATAATGAGACGTGCAAAAAGGTTTGTTCTTTATGTGAGCACTCATTGAAATATTACGCCCTACTGGAGTGTGATCATTTTGAGACATATTTCGTACGCATGACTGTGAACTGGACGCATTAAAAATCCCCCTTGCCTTCGTAAGCGATTGTCGGTCTACCGCGAAAGATCATTGTCTGGTTAGCGATCTCACCGCCAGATTGCGTGACGATTTCCCGCGGCCAGGGATGAGGTGCGCAAAGTTGACGCTGGGTGTTCTTCGCAGGTCGAGCATCTCGCCAGGCTCTGCAGCTCTACAGGTACGTGTTGCTGCGCTGGAGGTGTGCTGGGTTGGCCATACACCCGTTTCTGCGTTGCAGGGAAATGTTTCCCCAAACGCGCCTAATTATCGTAGTTTTTGTCCAAAATTTGTTTTACGAAACGTAATATTAATAAAATTTTGAGGTAAAAATAACGATCGACAATGCGATGCGTCACTAAACCTCATCTTCATTTTGGGTGAAGCGAATCGAGTCGGATGATAGAATTAGTGTAACGCAGCTGACAAAGACATTTTGTTATGGATCTTTTATTAAGTAAAGCATTAAATATTAAATGAATAAAAAGTACACAAGTGCTCATCTATTGAGACGCTCTTGTATTTAGCCCAATTTGCTGCTACCGACTTTTAAAAATTTGAATAAAACAAACACACTGAAGATATAGCAAATGAAATTTATTCGCTATATTTATTTCAGTATACATCAGTACAATTGGAACCAGATAAAGATATTGCACATGTGATGAGGTTGTGAATAATGCTTCCATAATTATTTGATTAAAATGCTATTTATAGTAGTGAACTTTATTAGAAAGTGCTTGATTGTCTTGTTATATTAAAAAAATATATGTTAATTGCAAATTTGGCTGGATATTGAATGCGATATTTAGGAACAGGTTATAGAAATTGGTTGCCTAAATCAACGTGACGTAAAACACGGAAAAATTGTATGGTTTTATCCCTTCTCGTGGAGATTTCTCACTACCACAACATGGAAAATCACGCGATCCCACTAATAAATATTTTTGTGTAACTTTCAGTACTTTGAGGCCAGTTGACACTTCGGTAAGCGGGTCAAGTTGATAAGACTTCGGCCGTAGTTCTTTGCGATTAACATCAAGAACCTTGAGTCTGAGCAACATATAATTTCCAACGCATTTTATGTCAATGCTTTGTAGCAGAAAATATTTAAAAAGGAAACTCAGAGGTTAATGTAGAAATTGACCCTCAACGGAATTATCGAGAACGCATATATTAAGCAATTACTTATAAAATAGGTCGAAAAAACCCCTTTATTAGTTATAAAAATGAAGTTGAGCAAAAAGTATTATCGCCGCCGCATTCGACTTGATGAACGGGATGTTATCGCCACATTTAAGGTGGGAAAAAGTGGATTTAAACTGTATCCATTCGTGGTGTTGAACGAACGAATAAATGCTTAAAAGTAGATTTAGGTTTACATTAGGATGAACGTTTTTTTGGTAGCAAACTCCTCTCGTATTACTTTATATGAGAAAGGTAGTTTCTGGAGCATTTAATAAAAATGGTTCACTATACTATGCGAGATACTACTCCAAACGATACAATGCCACCCATTAAACATGCTCTGATTTTTAATCATTATTTCATACAATATCTTGCGTATAAAGAAAAATTGGAATATCAGTAAACAAATATATGATCCAGGTTTTGTTTTAGTTGCCTTCCACTATAAATATAATAAAAAGATATTCATAATATAATTTTATTCAGTTTCCTAGAAAACATATTTCAACCAATTTCTCTATATTGCCATCATCTGGCACGCAATATAATAAACATACATAGATTAAGAGTTTGCTATCAAAAAACAATTCAAAACTACCATATTACCACAATCAGATCCACAGCGTTTTTTGATGTTGGCGTGTTTTTTTACTACATTCCACGTTGTTTCTGAATTTTTATTTTAGTTCAAAATATCCTGATCAAGTTTAATGATTTTAGCCTCATGATGTTTAGAAATGTAGACTTGTTTGTTTTGCCTTATATTCTAAGTCCTGGTGTTATCGAAGAAATGCTTTTCCGTGAAATGTTAATTGCCTTTTAAAGAAAAATTTAGTAAAGCAAAGTTAGTTTCGAAAAAAATTAATTATACTGTATTTGTCGTTTATATCAACAGCATTTTAAACCACACCCTCTAATTCATGCAGCAAGTAGTGTACGAAATATTTTAATTTACTTTAGTATACAATCTACAGATACCTGCATTATTTAATAAGAAGGTTCCAGTATTTTGTATAATTTAAAGAATTTGTACAAGAGTCACTCAATCTTGTGGATTGCTTTCTTTACATTTTGTGGATTTATCACTGTTTAATGGGTTGTTTTCTTTACATTTGGTACAATCAGTGTTGGTACATTTATTGTAATTCCTAAACTGAAGGAATTAAATTGAAAAACTGCTCTTTCACAAGAATTATTCACAAAATTCATGTTAAATTCTCCACATAAAACAATGGATTCAAAGAAGTGATTGATATGTTCAGTCATCTCTACATTTTCTAAGAAAGTGGTGTCATTTATAGTGCACCAAAATTCTGTCTGTACTCGGGGCGACAGCCCGCGGACGGGCCAAGACCAACCAGCAGTTGTAACGTGCAGCAGATGTACAGTTCAGTTGTAATATCACAGAAGTTGGCGCTCCAACAAGGAACTCAAAAAAAGGTAGTAGTATTTAAGGCAATAGAATTTGCAATAGGCAAGACTCATAAATCAAAAGATACAGGCAGAATTGATAAGTAAAATAAGCATAATAAAGTTAATATTAAAACACTGCTTCTCTTTGACCACTTCCATTACAAATAAAAGCTGCGAGAAGTTAAGTTTATCGGTGTGGATTTTTGTAAAGTTTCTGGCGTGTTGCATTCATGACGAACAGGTACCGTCGAATTGTGATACCCCAATAATTTGCTTTGTTGAAGGCCTGTAGATTCCGTACATAACGGTCTGTTCATGACCATATAATCTATATGATTTCTAACATAAATACCAGAATTTCGAGGACACTTACTCGATTTCTTTTCTCTCTAGCGGCGTTTCTCCTATCAAAACCGGGTGGATGCCGGAGCAATCCCTTAACAAATGGGTCACGAACCGCGTGCAATCTTTCCTCTTCCTTGTCATTTCTTTACTCTTAAACACACTAACATGCACTACACTTCTACACATGTCGCTTGTGAGAGAGATGGAGATACCTGGTTGGGAACAATCCCGCAAATCAACGGGTATGTTGGCACCAGATCTCTGCATCCCGCGGGAGATGATCACCGTAATCTCCTGCGATAAAATATGCACTGCACTTAAGGGATTAATGACCTTAGCCGTTAAAGCACCAATAAATTGGCAATAATATTAGCCTGCAAAGACAGAAGTTGCGAATTTGAAAAGGTAAGTCATTGCGGAGATTGAACGTTATAGTGCAGAGTTTAAATCTTTTTCATATACCTACACGGGCTGAATATGTCTGTAGTAGTATATTTACTCCAATTTTACCCCCAGTGCTTGCCCGAAAGTGGCAACTGGATGACAGGTTGTGAGAAAATTGTGGAATCTGAGGAACAGAGATTGGTAATGGGAATGGTAGTGAGTTTAGAAAAGGTAAAAGGGGTCGAAAAATTTGAGGAGAATGGAGAAATGAATGATGAAATGGCTACGGTGTTAGCAGGGGACTGCGAGGTAGTAAGGTCATGTGTCATGCCAGTTTGCAACAGTCCGTTAGTTTTTCAGTACGGTTCATGTCACCCGCAAAACCGAAGATCTCAGAACCATCCGGCACCTCTGTTCTGAAAACACTCTCGTACACTATATTCCACGAGAAAGGTCCTAAACGGATCTCTGACCATCCTCCGTGCGGTTCAACAGCGTACTTCCTGTAGAGTAGCTGACGATATCCTAATCAGTTAGTGTGGCAGTTTAAAATGCAGTAGAGCTTAGGGTGTAGTTCCACCTCCCCGAATAAGGCATTCTTGACATCTTGGGAGACAATAGTGTGGTATATTTTACTACCCCTTTTCCATCTTTTGCCTTGTATTACCTACCGGGATATATCGTTTACATGTTGATCGGCATCTATTGTAGATCTCACTTTTCTGAATCCGTATAGGTTTTCTGCAATCCCTCGAGTTCTTGCATCGCGTGTCCGTGTCCGTGTCTCTTTTTTTAATAAGGGTAGGTTGAAATCGTCAAAAGACACATGGTAGCCCGTACTACCCAGCGGGTGATGTTTTTACGCACTCTAACAGCACCTCCCGTCTCCTCCAGCTTCTCCCCGGAACCGCCTGTGTGTTTGTGCCATCGTCGGGAGTGGAATAGTGACCCTGTCACATGAAGTCAGTTACGTGAGGTATCAGAGATCCTTCCTTTATCTATGCATCTTAAATTCAGCAATGCGTCTTGTGCAAATTTACACACCGATCTCCAATTGGTTTCAGAAACAAGCATGCAAGTACATTTTCTGGAGTCATCTGGCATATAACAAGTATCTCAGCAGTGACTCGTGCGCACCGAAAAATCAGTATTTGGCGTCCTCGACAACAGGTTCACACACAGATAAATGTGGATAATCATCCAGTTTGAAGCTACGAAGGTAGTCTCGGAAGCAACCATGCCCAGTTAGAAGTTATGAGGGTAATAATTTTCCCGCTGGGCTTTGGACTGATCCTAGATTCGACTGTAGGAATCAGTCGGTTTATTTATCGTCCCTTGGAGAACGAATCAAATTTTGTTGTTGCTTTCTGCTAGTTGTTCCGGGCCGTTCTGCTTCCCAGCTCTTTTGTCGTAACGCTTCGACACCCAAGAGTCATTATATCTATTGGGATCATCCCGGCTATGACACAAACAGCTTCATTCGAAACTGTGCGGAACACACATGCAACACATTTTTGAAAACTTCAAAATGTGCAATTTCTCTTCGTCTTGCTGCAACTACAATATTGAATATTGAGATGTTGCAATATTTTTAATGAAATCTTTTATAGTCTGATTTTGAAATAGTTGATCAATATTTCAAACATATGCATAGTTTTACTCGTAGTGTAATTTTGTCCGAAATACAGGGAATTTTTAGCAATCTTTTTTCTCAAAAACCGCTCCAAAAGTGTTCTTTAAATTGTTTCTCACGAATACAATAAAAGAAAGATTAAAATAATAGCTTGGGTCTCATTTTCGTTGAACGCTTTGAATTTTTTAACATTAAAAATTTTTAAAAACGCCAGTATT